AGTACATTAATAATTACTTTTTCAACCTCTAAGTCTTCTGTGTTATAGCTATACAAATTGCAGATTGAAATCTTCTAAAAAGCCAGCAGCTTGTACCTTGGTCTTGTCATTTGCAAAATATTTTTAATGGCATATGGTATGGTGCTTTTTAGTTCAAGATTTCTAGAATAGGTGTAGTCAGAGGAACATTTACAAACAACATGATGTATTTGTGTTGTATTTTTCCCAAACGCTTTATCTGACCTTTGGGTTATTTTACCTTTGAGAAGAAAAAACTGCAAGCCACAAAGTCATTAAGAATATCTTCCAGAACTTTGGAATGCTGTCCATTTTCACTCTTAATGCATTTTTCCAGTTCAGCAGAAACAATTCTGTAATATAAATAAATAAATATCTTTTTCTTATTGATAACAGGATGTTGCTTTGTTGGACAGATTGATTAAAGATGATGTTGAGTCTGGAAAACTGCCTTTGTTGCTTGTGGCCAATGCTGGTAAGTGCTATGGACAAACAATAAAAAAATCACACTATTTTACAAATATATATAAAATCCAAAATAAAAATATATTTTCTTAAACAGCTTAGTGGTTGCATGTCAAGAAATACCAAGAAATATCTGAAGACCACACAATAATTATCTGTCTAGAGGGGTTTTTGTTTAACTGATTTAAAGTTGGATTGTACTGCTACAGTTCTGCTTATGTCAGTTGATGTATTAATATGACTAGAACTTATTTTAACGAGTGCAAATCTCTTGTGCCATCAACTTTATCTTTTAAAAATTGTATTTTTCTTCTGGTTAATTAAACAGAACTGCTCACGTACTTAAATTTTGTTCGAATGAAGGAGATGACTGTTACTTGCTTTAGAATTGGAAAAGTATCTAAGAAATTAATCTTGGTTTAGTTTCCTTTAGTTGAGGTCATACTTTGAACATACTAAAAATGTCTGCATTTCTTATCTGAGGCTGCTGAGTCTTTTAGTGCCTAGGACATATAATTTTCTAAGTATTTTTAATACATATTAACAAGCAAAACAAGTATCTTTATTTTTTTTGTCTAGAATTCCAGTTGCTCTTAAGTCACAATGAACCAGATACGAATACTGTGTAGTAGGCTCTTCTTAAACATCCTCTTTCCTGCTCTTGTGGGACATTTTGATGACAGTACAAGAGCTCCTTTTATGTAGAGTCCTAGTTTGCATGCTTATCCTTTGTGATTGCCTTTTTTCCTTTTCAACAAAGGGACACCAGGTGCTGGGCACACAGATAAACTTGGCCGACTGAAGGAACTTTGTGAGCAGTATAGTATGTGGCTCCATGTAGAAGGGTATGAAACTTGAAATTTATTTCTGTATAACTATATTCATTACAAAGTCTGACTATGGACAGCACATAATTCTGCAGCTAACCAGCTGGTAGAGGGCCACAGGACCATCTTTATTTTTGCCATGTGAAGCATTTTATATGGTTATAATTTTGTCACTGTATGAGATACAGATTGTTTTACACATACAGGAATAATTCATTGTAGTGGTTATTTCCACGTAGGTTAGTGGTTACTTTTACTCAGATGGTAATCTTATCTGCACTTGCTTTGAAGAGCTTGGAATATGAATAAAAAGACCTTATAGGACAAGTCAGGGGACACGTTTATACAGTGATCATTGGGAAGGAGAAAGGAGAATGAAATGAGTGTGGAAGAGATGACACTTTAATGAAGGTTGTCAAGAAGACAGCTGCAGGTGCAGTGTGCAGCATAACTGGGAGGAGGATTAAACCAAGAGGAAAAGAAATTCCAAGAACTTGGATAATGTTAATGAAGACTCCATTGCTCTAAGATTAATTTTTTTGAGCCTGGAGTTAAGAGACTCTGGTTTTCCTGATACTTCACTGTATAGTGTTATATTTGCATGCTATTTATTTCTAATACCAAATTGATGCTGAATTATGGGTAGGACTTCGGGGGATGATTTCACCAAAGGTTGGACTGAAACATTTTTAGATTGAAATGGATTTTTACCTTTGGGTTTTCAATCTTGGAATACCACGTAGCAACAGCTGCTGCATTGGTAATGAAAAATATATGAACAAAAATTACCTCCCTTTATGCATCAACGTGAAATATTTAAACTGAAGATTAAAATGCTATCTCTTAATACATTTTTAATATGTGCTAAAACCACTTTATTTTTCTAGTGTGAATTTGGCAACTTTGGCTTTGGGTTATGTCTCCTCTTCTGTACTGGTATGTTTTACTTTATAGCACAATATTAAGTTTCTAGATAGATTTTAAGGTCATGATCTAATAAAAATATATATGGCTTATGTTCTGCTTATTGTAATAACCTTCAGGCTGCTACAAAATGTGACAGCATGACTCTTACTCTGGGTTCCTGGCTGGGTCTCCCGGCTGTACCTGCAGTGACACTCTACAGGCATGAGGATCCATCTTTGGTATGTTTGACTTCTCAGGCATTATTCTCAAGATCTTGAGACTTTAATTTTGATCACAGTGTACTGTCTTATTCTTCATAAGCATCTAAATTATAACTTGCAAAAGCTCCCCTATTTAAGCTGTGACACATTGCATAAAGCTGGCAAAAATGGAATAATTGGAGAGGTTAATAGTGGTTTGTTTGTTTTCCTCTTTAGTCCTTAGCGGCTGGGCTGACATCAAGTCAGCCTGTAGAGAAGCTCCGTGCCCTGCCATTGTGGCTCTCCTTGCAGTACCTGGGCCACGATGGGATTGTGGAGAGGATAAAGCATGCCTCGCAACTAGTAAGCAACAGCTTGTTGGCACACTGTTTATGGATACTTTACTTCTTTGAGTATGGGTTGGAGACTGTTCTTAAGAATCCTCACCATCGGAATTAACAGTTTGAGTCTCCAAGCAGAAATAAAGTTCAGATAGCAATAATAGTACGAGTGATATCCAGATGGCTATCACAGAACACCATTACACTTAGGAATGTTTTTATAATAGTTGTTAATACATATTTTTGATTATTGCGATGTGTTGTACAAGAATCAACTACAGATATTGTAGTTGTTGACAGTACAGCATATTGGTTCATATTGTGTTACTCTGCTTTCATTTGTTTGTAGAGTGTTTGGGGGAGGGATGTGCTTTTACTGTTAGATTGTGTATTTTATTAGGTTTTTTTAATGAGAAATACTTAATCTTTGTTTTTTCTAAACAGTAAAACAATATAATCACTTCCTTTTTTTTGGTCACTTCTGTATTTTTACTGTTTTGCTTGAAAGCTGTTCAGAGAAAGATTTTCTTATTTTCCTACTCTACTTGTCATTGTATTGATTCAAGTAATAATAACTTACAAATGCCTGACAAAAAGGACTTCAAAACACTTCTTCAGATACAGTGGCAGGTGCAGTATTTTTGAAGTTGAGTCCTTACCCTAGTAAAAATTAAAGTCTAATATAATGTGTTAGTTAAATACATTGTTTATATGCAAAACATTTTTCCTTAAGGTACAGCACTTACTAAAAATTCAAGGAAGGGCAAAATGGGAAGTTTCTGTAATGGTTAGTGAAGAAGCTATTAGCATGAAAGACCTAAAAGAGTGACAAAGTATCATTTAGTCATAAGATTTTGTGGCATCTAAGGTTGACCTTAGCTTTTATAATAGTCTATTAATTGTCTTGAACCACAATGTAAGAATGTCTTTTCTAATGCAAATAATTTAGAAAGCCATCATAACCAGTTGCTATGGTAGCTTTGAGAAAATTAACTGTTCCGCTACACACCGTGCTTTAGTTAGTCAACGGAGTTGTATTATGTCTGGAACTTTGTCAACAAATATGCCAAGACTTTATTTTAATGAAAATCACTTTGTAGTCAGTGTTTTAATAAAAACAGAAAATATTTTTCCATTAAATTCTAAATTTGCAAATAAGAACTGGATGAATCTCTGATGCATTGTAGGGGTTTGCTCAGAAACAGAAATTATGGTAGTGACTACTTAATGTTTTTCAGAATAATTTTCAACTTCTAAAACTGTGTTTTTGCCTCTTCCTTTTGTTTTCCTTCTGCTGTGGTCTTTTAGAGTCAAAGGTTGCTGGAAAACTTGAAAAACCTGGATTTCATTAAAACTTCGGTACAGTCTATATTTAATACTTTGGTTGTATAGCTTAGTCTTTGCCTGATAAATGATAAGAATAACTTTGATTTTAAAAAAATTATTTAAAAATATTACTTAAATCATAGCTGTTGTTTTGAAGATGCTTGGTATCTTTCTAATTAAGTTCTGGTGTTCAATGAAATTGTGCAGCTTGGTTGTGTGTGATCTCTAGATTGCATTTGTTCCATTGCTGGGTACTCATGCACTTAGTGGAGCTGACAGAACAACATCCAGAAATTGTTTCCAGAGGTTGATTTAATTCCATTTAAAACATGGATTTGTTCAGTAATGCATTTATGAAACCAGTTTCCATAAGCCTCTCTAATACATTCTGCCTGCATCTGACCCTGCTGTTGAGATGATACTGTGAACCCTGTGAAATTGTACACAAAAATTATCCCAGCTGATGTTTCTGCACCAGAAATAGCTTTAGAAATTACATCTTGTATTCATTCCAAATTCAGTTTCTGTGACATATCCTGTTCAACAGGGTTTGGTGGTTTTACTCCCTGGCCCCTAAATTTAATTGACACTTGATGTAGAGAAAATATATTCAGCTTAGTTTTCTGGGGCAAGAAATAATTCATGGATCATTCTGAGTGACAATAACAATTTTTGTAAAAAATTTTTTTTCCAACAGTATTAGTGGCCTTGGGAGTTCAAGTTACTGTGGCACTTCCCCCTTCTACTTAAATCTTGCATTTTTAGGATTGTGAAACGTAGCCTCAGATTGCTTCCAGAAGTTGCCCAGTCCATTTCTCCTACCCACAAAGCAGGGTCAATTATAATCTTGTTATTCCT